ACTAAACAAAAAAAGAGGATACAAAGGAAGGACCATTTTGTATCTGTATATGCAGAATAGTTAGGATAGATATACAGCTACTTTTGCTTAATTCAATGAGAAGAAAGACTTGTACTAATAGTATTTGGACAGGATATTTAGTCTGCATCTTGTACTATGGATAACCACTAAGAAGATAACAATGTATAATGTATTAATTATTGAAGCTGTCCTATTAATCAGTTTTGAAACTGTCTCATTGATATTTGTTTCTCAATAAAATAAAATTTTATTCTTGTCAAACAAAACTGCTATAACATTTTTACATTCTTTTTCAGAAAAATTTTTATTAATAAAGTTTATTGGTATATTTTAGGTGTATATAATGATTACATTCATTATAAGAAATTTTTACCCATGTATGATGTAACTTTTTTTATCCCATTCTCCTACCCTCCCTTAAACTCTTCTTCCCTTCTTTATTCGCAAAAGCTTTGTTTCTAGTTTTTCGTTCTTTTCTCATCATTTTTTTCTTTTCTCTTACTTCCTTCCCCCCCTCACTCTTCCCTAGTTCCTCTTCCCATTGAACATTTTCTTCCTATTTTACAATATCTATTATATAAACTTTCAGTTTCTCACACCAGAGAATCAATATGGTATTTACATGTGTATGTATAATTTATTTCACTGAAAATGATGGTTTCAAGGTGCATCCATTTAGCTAAAAATGTGTCAAGCTTATCCTTCCCAATCACACAGTAGTACCCCTTTGTATAAAAACAAAAACAAAACACCTCTACATCTTTATCCATTCACCAGTTGATGGTCATTTGGGCTATTTACAAGATGTAGCTATTACAAACTGCACCACCATAAACATGGATGTGCATATGTTACAGTATATATGCTTCTTTTGGAGAGATACCAAGAAGAGGAATAGTGGGATCGATGGAAAGTTTGTCCTAATTTTTTTGAGGAAAATTTTTTTGAGGTTGGCCCAGTCTACACTCCCACCAACAGTGGAAAACAATTCCTTTTTCACCATAGTCCCACCACCACTTATTCTTAGTTGATTTGTTGGTAATAGCCTTTCTTTCTGAAGTGAGAGGAACTCTCAGTGTTGTTTTAATTTGCATTTCTCAAATGACCAATGATGGTGAACACTTATTTCGTATATTTACTTCCTGTTTCTATTTCTTCATCTCAGAAGTTTCTATTCTATTCATTTCAGGTGACCATTTTTGGATTGGATCTTTAAATTTGGGGATCTGAATTTTTAAAAATTCTTTATATATTCTACATAGTAGTGCTTTGGATAAAAGCTGGAAAAAAATTTTTTTCTCACATTGTATGTTGTCAGTTCACTCTGTTTTTTTCTTTTGCTGTGCAAAATCTTCTTAATAAGGTGAGATTCCAGTTATTGATTATTTGTGATATTTCATGTCCAGTTGGGGTTTTGTTTATAAAGTCTTTGCTGACACTAGTGTCTTTGAGAATTTTACCTATTCTATCTTCCAGTAGATTTAATGTTTCTGTTTTAATATTTAGATCTTTGACCCATTTTGAATTATAGTCCATGAACCCCAGTGTAGTGAATCCACCAGACAAGGTCAAAAAAATTTTTTTTTCTTTTCAAAGTTTTATTGATAAACATATAGCAATGAGACAGTTTCAAATCAAGTCGAAAGTATAGTTTCAACAAATAATACACTGCATATATTCTTCTTAGTGGTTAATTGCTGTACAAGATGCAGACTTGTGATCCTACTTACAAAC